CAAGTTGGTCTGTTCAGTCGTCAGCAGAAGTCCATCACGAGAAGCTACTCGATTCCCAGTGGTTTTGTTCCATGTCTGTCACATCACTATTGATAGAGGGGTGTTGACAATGACAATAAATGACTGCATGTTTGAAGTAGACCATCAGCTGTGAAGCAATTTCAAATATCCGGAGAACTGAAGAGGTTCCAAAAGGTTCTGCAAGCCTGAAACCAGGACTATTCAAACAATGAATTCAGCGTGTAGGTTTGTCTGTTCTTGAAAAGGGGATGTATTTAAAATCATGGAGGGTTTTACAGCTTGGTTATGTGAGAAATCAATACACCAAACAGTGAATTCAGAAGAAACTTTATCCAAAGACTGTTGAAAATGTAGAACTCACTACCGCAAGGAGTGGTTGAAGACAATAATAAACGTGCTCAAATGGAGCATAAATGCCACAATGACCCTGTTTGTAATTTTACATAATTGTGGAGAGTAGTACAAATAAATGCAAATGCTTTCTCCACAAAGCTGAACAATATTTGGATCCCTTACCATTGCTGCAATATGACATCTGTACATTTCAGAATGTGTTTTTAAAATAAAATCTTGGCTGAAAAGTTAAGGTGTCTATAGTTTTTCAGATAGTGACTGTGTTTTCCTGGCAATTAACTTGTTTTTGGTTTGGATTTTGCAGTTCTAAATGCCACTCCTAATATTGGCCCAATATGTAGACAAGCTTTTGTGGTTGAGGTTTCTTATTTATTGAAGTAGGGTGATTAAATGTATGGTGACCTTGTTTATCAATCTTATTTAGGATTTCCTTGACAAATTTCATGCACATCTACTTTTGGTAGTGTCTCATTATTTGCAAGACCATATTGGTTCACCAAGCTAGTAGTGTTTGTTTCACACAGCTTATTGCAATGAATCTATTTTCGGTATGGCAACCCTCGCAACATCTGAAGTTTAGTATATTTGGACACCAGAAGATATGTCTGCAGGAAGTGGTGACTGGCTACAGCTCCATATAGACCACGTTCAGTTGGAGTAGCAGGTGGACACACTGAGGAACACAGAGTAGAGACTTGGATAGACGCTAGTTGTTCACACCAGAAATTCAGTTAGGTAGGTGGGTGACTGCCAGGAGAGGCAAGCAGATAGTCCAGGAGTCTCCTATGGCCATTCCCCTCTCTAACAGATATACGGTTTTGGATACTGTTGCAGGGGATAACCTCTCGGGAGTATTAAAAATAGTAGTCAGGACTGTGGCACCACAACTGACTACTGTAGAGCAGGGTTGGGCAAGATCCAAGTGAGCAATAGTGGTAGGAGACTTGCTAGTTAAGGGCATAGAGAGGTGTTTCAGTGGCTGCGTCTGAGACTGCAGGATGGTCTGGTGGTAGGGTCAAGGACATCTGAGCGGTTGCATGAAATTCTTAAAGGAGTGGGTGATCAGCCAGAGGTTGTGGTGCACATTGGTACTAACAACTTGGATAGAAAGGGGAATGAAAGCAGAAGTTACTGGAAAAGCTCAGCAGATCTGATAGTATCTGAGAAGAAAAAAGTCAGTTAACGTTTCGGGACCAGTGTCCCTCTAAACGGTCACTGGACCCGAAACATTAAGGTTTTTTTTTCAGATGCTGCCAGACCTGCTGAGCTATTCCAGCAACTTCTGTTTTTGTTCCTGATTTACAGCATCCACATTTCTGTTGGTTCTTATTTAGGTAGAAAGAGGGATGAGGTGTACGGAGTGAGTACAGGGAGTTAGGAAAAAGGCTGAGGAGCAGGACCTCTAGTAGTAGTCTCTGGGTTGCTACTAGTGCCACATGGTAGTTAGGTAAGGAATACATAGAAAGGACAGATGAATGCATGGCTAAGCAGCTGGTGCGAGGGGCAGGGTTTCAGGTTCTTGGATCATTGTTGCCCCTTCTGGGGCAAGGGTAACATGTACAAGAGTGTGGTGGGTTGCACCTAAACTGGAGGGGAGCCAGTATCCTCTCAGGGAGGTTTGCCAGTGCTACTTGGGAGAGTTTAAACTAGTGGCAGGGGGCTGGGACAAGAGCAGCAAGTAGAGGGATTGAAGGGAAGGTAGATCTTGAGACCAGTAAAAGAAAAGAACAGGCAGAGACCGGTAAATGAACATGAGGATACTAATGGGCTGAAGTGTGTTTGTTTCAATGCAAGGAGTATTAAAGGTAAGGCAGATGAACCTAATCCCATGTACTAATCCATCTATGATGTTGTGGCCATTACAGAGACTTGGTTGAGAGAGGACAGGATTGGTTGCACAACGTTTCAGAGTTTAACTGTTTTAGACGAGACAGAAGAAGGTAAAAGAGGTGAAAGAGTTGCATACTAACCAGGGACAGTGTTACAACTGCACTCGGGACATGCTGGAGGGCTCATCCACTGAGGTAATATGGGTAGAGCTCAAAAATAAGGCTGGTGCAATCATTCTGGTAGGATTATATATAGGCCCCCCAACAGCCACCAAGACATTGAGGAATATATATGTAGGCAGATTATGGAAAGGTGCAATAAAAACAGTTGTCATAGTGGGTGACTTTAACTTCTCCAGTATTGACTTGGAGCTCCCTTCGAGCAAGAAGCTTAGACAGGGTGGAATTTAAGCGTATCCAAGAGGATTTCTTGAAACCATATGCGGATAGTCCAACTAGACGAGGGGCCATACTGGACCTTGTATTGGCTAATGAGCCTGGCCAGATGACTGACCTTTCAGTGAGAAAGCATTTGTGGACCAGTGATCACAACTCCTTGAGCTATGAACAAGGATAAGTCGGGACCTTGCGGGAAGGTACTGAATTGAGGGGGGCGGGGAGTACAAATTAAGGCAGTGTTAATTGGGAGGAACTGTTATCACGGAATTGGTGTTGGATCTCTTGAAGAGCATTAAGGCGGATAAGTGCTCAGGCCCCAATGGTATCTACCACAGGTATTGAGAGAAGCGTATCCTCACTAGCCACTGGAGAGGTCCCAGAGGACTGGTTAGTAGCTAATGTTGTTCCTCTGTTCAAGAAGGGAAATAGAGATAATCCAGGAGACTATAGATAGATAGATGAGTCTCATCAGTGATTGGGAAATTATTGGAGAGAGTTCTTGGGGACAGGATTTATGCACATTTAGAAAAGCGTGGCCCACTAAGGGATAGTCAGCATAGCTTTGTGCAAAGTAGGTCATGTCTTACTAACTTGATTGAAATTTTCAAGGAGGTGACAAAGGTGATCGATGAGGGTAGAGCAGTGAATCTTGTCTGCATGGATTTTAGTAAGATTTTTGAGAAGGTCTGTCATGGTAAGCTCATTCAGAAGATCAAGATGTTTGGGATCCATGGTGACTTGGCTACATGAATTTGGAATTGTCTTGCCCAAAGAAGACAGACGGTAGTGACGGAAGGATGTTTTTCAGGCTGGAGTTCCGTGACAAGTGGTGTTCCGTAGGGATCTGTACTGGGACCTCTGCTGTTTGTGATTTATATAAATGACATGAATGACAGGCCTGAAATGTCAGCCTTCCTGCTCCTCTGATGCTGCTTGGCCTGCTGTGTTCATCCAGCTCTACACCTTGTTATCTCAGATTCTCCAGCATCTGCAGTTCCTACTATCTCTGGATGAAAATGTAGATGTGTACATCAGTAAGGTTGCAGACAATACAAAGATCAGTGGAGTTGTGGATAGTATAGAAGGCTGTCAAAGGATAGCGGGGAATATAGATCAGTTGCAGATATGAGCAGAGAAATGGCAGACGGAGTTTAATCTGTGTAATTGAGGTGCTGCGTTTTTGGGGATCAAGTGTTAAGGAAAAGTATACAGTTAATGGTAGGACTCTGAACAGCATTGTTGTACAGAAGGATCTTGGTTTCAAGTCCATAGTTCCCTGAAAGTGGCCACGCAAGTAGATCGGGTGATCAAGAAGGCATATGGCACGCTTGCCTTTATTGCTCAGAGAATTGAGTACAAGTCAGGAAATCGTGTTGCAGCTTTATAAGACTTTGGTTAGGCCACACTTTAGAGCATTATGTTCAATCTATGTAACCACGTCACAGGAAGGATGTGGAGGGTTTGGAGAGGGTGCAGAACAGGTTTACCAGGATGCTGCCTAGATTAGAGGTTACGAGCTATGAGGAGGGGCTAGAAAAACTCAGGTTGTTTTCTCTGGAGCAGCGGAGGCTAAGGGGAGACTTGAGAGAAGTCTATAAAATTGAGATGCATAGATAGGGTTGACAGTCAATCTCTCTTTCCTCGAGTTGAAATTCTAGGGGTCATGTATTTATATTCAGAGGGGGAAAAGGTCAAAGGAGACATGAGCGGCAAGTTTTTTTTAAACCGTGGTAACAGTCTGGAACGCAATTCCGGGTGGTGGTGGAGGCAGATACGAAAAAAGCATTTTGAAGGACTTTAGATAAGCACGTGAATATGCAAGGAATGGAGGGATATGGACCAAGAGCAGGCAGAAGGGATCAGTTTCATTTGGCATTACGCTTGATGCAACATCATGAGTCGAAAGGCCTGTTCCTTTGCTGTACAGTTCTATGTTCTATATCTAGTTATATGGGTAATTATGCGTAATGTTGAACTTAATGTTCCAGTAAAACTATCCGTTCATATATCCAGCAAAGATGTGCACTTGTGATGCCATGGCATACAAGGCTATGTGGTGGTGTTGCAAAATGGGATGAGAATAATTGTGGTTGTTTTTGGTGCAAGTGCAATAGACTAAAGGGCTTTTTTCTGTGCTCTAGGTCTCTAGACACCTAATTGCTTTTTATACAGGGTCCTTTTACGCTAAAGAAAAAACGCAAACAGCATTATGGCTAAGAATCCACATATCTAGCTTTGGTTAGAAATTAATGTCTTTTGAGTTCATCAATCAGATTGCATGGCTTTTAACATTTTAACACATATATATTGAAGCAAGGTGATATTTTAGAAATTAAACTGGTAATTCTTCTTTTTGAAGCTGTGCCTCTTCCATTAATTAGTACGGGACAGACATTTCTTTAACAGACTCTGTTTTGTGTCCCTGTAATCTTCAGATTGCTGTTTCCATTTGGAAAATGAGTCACAGTCGTGGGCGTAGTTTTGTTGAGGTTATTTGTGAGAAGTACAGCCCAGAAAATTTTCCATATCGACGAGGAATGGGCATTGGCATCCACATCTCTGCAGGGCCACAGGGCTCACCTTTGAAAGGTAAGTGAAACTTTACGCTTGTTTGCTTTCTCAACCGTCTCATCAGTTCGTTTGCTGGCTATAACCAACTACTGAGATTCAAGAATTAAGAAATGTAAGCAGTTCAGGGAAGGTAGTTTCTACTTGCACGCTCAACTGTACATGCATCTAAACACCAAATGAGCATGCGCAGGATTCAACACACAATTTACGTATGACTTCATATACAAAATTTGCACTGTGCAGGAAAATGCAGTTTTGGAATAAAATTCAGCATTAGGGAGTGAGGGTGAGGCAGGGTGAGGATGGCAGGGTTGGGACACAGGGAATTGCTGATTACCCCTCCCCCTCCTGATTTCAAAATCACACTTGTCTGTGCGCAGTGCAACCTTTGTCTAGTGTCATACCTAAATTTTACGTGATGCTGCATTTGTCCGAAATTATGAATGTGCACATTTCTGGTTTAGCTACATGCACAGTTGTAGATGTCAGCAGCTAATTCCTTTGAAGCACACGTGCTTTTGAATGTACATGTGCAGTGTGGTACTTGCACATGAGGTCATGTACATTCTACATGATGACATAGTTTCTGGTATTGTGTGCATGCAATTTTCTGGAAAGTATATATGCGTAGTTGCCCACAGTTGTGGTTGTAAACAAGCATCAGCTAGGAAGAATCCCATAAGATTTCTCTTTTTTGCTCTGACCCATCTCAAAGTTTTCTTTTATCTACGGAATACGTAGGCATTGCATACATTTTGGTTAGCATGTGTTTCAAATGCTCATGTGCTTATACCTATGCTTTGCTCCTTTGCGTCTTATGTATTTTTGGTTGATGATATTTGAAATGACAAATGATTCTTTTGCAGGCAGCTTATGCTAATGTTTGAATAAAAGTGAAACTGCAAGTTGCTTTACTTTCCTATTCATTGCTTCCCAGCAGGTAGCAAATACTTAGGTGCATTATCTTACTAATCAGCTGCTATTTGTCACATTCAGAATTGATCTGAATTTCTGTTTCATTTCCTTTAGCACGTCTGAATCTCCCAACTATCCTCGTGCTGGATGGTTGTGGAATTACAACTGCTGGAAAGGAAAGTGATATTGCTGCCTTCTGCTCGCATGTCTCTGAACTCGACCTGTCTGATAATAATCTACAAGACTGGTACGAGGTAAATAGGTTATGAACCAAGAATTACTGAGCACAGATGGTAGGTTCCAAACACTGTCTAAGTGTTGCTGTGTGATTCATAGGCTATTTCACTAAAAAGGTAACAGCGCACTTTAAACTCTTAGTTCTGCAATTTTAATCATTTTCTCCTTTCCCATGTTTTTTTTTTACTCTGTAGCTCTTTCTTTCCTTTGTTTTCTCCCTTGATTCCCTCCTTTCCTACAGGGACCAGCTCCTTGATGGCCTGTGGTTCCAAGGCAGTATTTGTCATACAAAACAGCAAAGGTTGGGAACTCAGCAGATCAGTCAGCATTTGTGGAGAAAATCAGCAAACTAACTTGTTGAGTGCGGAACCTTCTTCAGAACTGTTTACACCTAGCCCTGGTGCCATGTCCCAGTAAAGATCATATATGTGAGTGTTGCCCAGAATTTGACTGCACAATGGCATCACAAGTAAGCTCAACTGTGTCTTAACTTAATGTCCATACAAACCCTCCATCAGTGATCATTGGATGTGATCAGAAGCAGAAACTTTGATTTTTTTTTTAGTACCATCCCAAGTGTTGAGGTACTGAAAGCAACTCTGTAGGTATCTCAGTTCACACCAGTTAACTCAACACAGGCCAGAAACTGAGCCAGGAATCTGGCAAAGAAGTCTTTGTCGTCTCCAGGATCATCGTCTCTAACACATTCCTTCCCACTCTATTAAACTTTACCTTGTTCCCTTTCTTTCTCTTATCTTGTTAGAACTTACAGCTGTCCTACTCGTCTGGAAGTCTCTCAACCATCCACCTGATCACCCCCCTTTACACACAGAATCAGACAGTACAGAAAAGGCCCTTCAGCCAAGAGTCTGTACTGCCAAAAATATACTCTCTACACTCGTCCTGCTCTCATCCAGTAGGCCCATAGTCTTGAATGTTATGGCATTAAGTGCTCATCCAAGTACTTTATAAATGTTGAGGTTTCCCATCTCAACTACCCTCCCAGGTGGCGCAGATCCCCACTTCTGGCTGAGGTTTTTTTTTGTCTTGCCTTTCACTTTTAAAATTATTCCTTTTTGTTATTGGCCCATCAACTAAGGGAATAGCTGCTCTCTATTCATCCTGTCCATGCCCCTCTTAATCTTGTACATCTCCATCAGGTTCCCCCCGCCCCCCTTTCTCTGCTGCAAAGAGGGAAACCCAAGCTTATCAAGCCCCTCTCCTTGGCTGAAATACTCCATCCTAAGCAACATTCTGGTGAAATCCTTTTGCATCCCATCATGCTCATTCACATCCTTCTTATGGTATGGTAACCAAAACTGCCCACAGTACTGTCTCTGTAGCCTAAGCAAAGTTCTGTATAGCTCCAATGTGATCTCCCTGCTCTTATACTCTATGCCACAACTAACAAAGGCAAATGACCTGTATGCCGCTTCACAACCCTATTATCCTATCCTGCCACCTTCGGGGATCTGTGGGCAAGCACCCCAAGATCCCTTTGTTCCCATGAGCTTACCCTAGTGTCTTGCTATTCATCGAGTACTTCCTTATCTTTTCCTTCTTCTAAAGTGCATCACTTAACATTTTATTGGAATTAAATTCCATCTGACCAATCCATTGATATCCTCCTGCAATCCAGCACCTCCCCCTCACTGTCAGCCACCTGCCCAATCTCTCTATCATCCACAGATTTACTTATCACCCCTCCCCACTCCACCATTCTCATCTACATCTTTTATGATTATCACAAACAATAAGAGATGCAGCACCAATCCCTGCGATATGCTACTCGGCTCTAGTCACACAAATCACCTTCTGTCATCACCCTCTGTCTCCTGTCACTAAGCCAATTTTGGGTCCAACTTGTCAAGTTGCCCTGAATCCTATGACCTTTTACCTTCCTTATTAGTTTCCCACGTGGGACCTTGTTAGAGGCCTTGCTGAAATCTGTAAGAACCACATCACCTGCCCTACCCTCATCCAAACATTCAGTCACCTCAGAATTCCATAAGATTTGTTAAGCATGACCTCCCTCTGACAGAAAGCTGGGCTGACTCTCCCTTATCAAACCTTGCCTAAATTTGAGATTCACTTTCTTCTCCTGTATTTTCTCTGATAGTTTCCCTCTGATTGTTTCAAACACGTGAACTTCTTCCAATCCATTGAAGTTAGTAGATTATTAGCAATGACCGCTACTGGCTGACCCATTATCAGAAGAGCAATGCAAAAACTTATGAAATCTGAGGCAGTAAGAGGCAAAATTAATCTGAATGAATCTGAGGCTCAAAAGTTGACTTCAAGCTTAGCTGCTGACTATACTCTGGTCAAAGGACCCCTGCACGGAAATCTGTAAAGCAAATAGTTATAGGAGCAGATAGGGACAAAGTGCAAATGTCAAGAGGTTGAGGTGCTACATTACCATTTATCATAACAGCCTTTCCTGTCTGTTCTTGCCTGTTCTTGCTAGATGGTGTCTGTCAATCAACAATACAAATGTTGTTTACACCTGTTATATCCAGTGTCACTGAGTAAGACAGTACCTATAGCAACATGTACAAAAACGTTTGAATACAAATGCTATAGCCAGCCTCTGCTACTAGTGAGGGAGTACTGATGTCTAAAATATTTTAGTCAATTGTTTGCTTATTGCATTTTCTTTTTTAAAAAAATTGTATATATTTGTCTTGTTCTTTGCTTGTAAAGAATTTGATAAATGAGAAAGGAATTGTAAGCCTAAAGGAATGAGGCAATACCATACAGGAGCTGCTTGTCTCTTCTAGCTGGACATCATAAAGGAGTTGCAGCCAAAATATCATGAAAGTTAAAGGCAGATTGCTGATCCATTTTAGGATCATTGATACTACAGTACATGCCTTTCGATCCAAAAGCTCAATCAAAAAACGTTTGGACAGTTAAGCATAGAGAATTGAAAAGTGGTATCGAAGAGAAATTGTTGAAATGTTAATTGTTTTTGAAAGGAATGAGAATTATGGTTCCAGTTTAAAGGTAAATGTGAACTGATTTGCATAATGAAGGGGCATAGTTGGAAGTTTGTTAAAGTTCAAGGTAAAAAATTCAAGGTTCCTTTTGAATGTAAATACTTTTGTGAGCATTTCTCAGAATTCATTGACCTTGGTTCAAATCGCAGAGGACTGGAAAACAGCAAATATAATGTTCAGCTTCTAAATATAAGAGTGTACATAGCAATTAATAGAATGGGCAGACGTCTGATAAATTAAATTTACTGCAGAAAGGTGACAAATGAACCTTTTTCATAGGAAGACTGTTGTGGCTATATGCACCAAAGAGTAGAAATTTAAAGGGGATGCAGAAACAGAGGGATCTGAGGTATATGTGCAGTGGCCTAGTAGTATTATTGCTGGACTGTTATTCCAGAGATCCAGGTAATGTTCTGGGAACCTGGCTTCGAATCCTGCCACGGCAGCTGGTGGAATTTGAATTCAATAAATATGTGGTATTAAGAGTCTAATGATGACCATGAATCTATTGCGGGTTGTTGAACCCCCTTCTGGTTCACTAATGTCCATTTAGGGAAGGAAATTGCCATCCTTGCCAGGTCTGTGATTCCAGACCCACAGCAACGTGGTTGAATCATAACTGTCCTTTGGGCAATAAATGCTGGCCTGGCCAGCTTTGCCCTTGTCCCATCAATGAATAACAAAAAGTCATTGAAGGTTGCGGGGCAGATGGATAAAGTGCATTAACAAAGACATAGAGAATCCTGGGCTTTATAAATAGAGGAATGTAATATAAAAGCAAGGGCAAAGTTGGTCTTGTAGAGGGGCTGTATGGGCACAATGAACCAAGAAGCCTTCTCCTGTAACCATCCTATGATTCTGAATGCAATTAATAATCAAATTATAGACCTTTTTAAATCTTAAAGTGCTTGGACACTTTGAAGGGTACCATAACAGCTTTGAGGAATATAAACTAATGAGACAGATGACATGGCTGCAAGTCTGGGATCTCATAGTTGGTTATTTCATTAATCTTAGCAGATAAGACACACAATGGTGTGTAGCAAATAGTGTACGAGATAACAAGGTGTAGAGCTGGATGAACACAGCAGGCCAAGCAGCATCAGAGGAGCAGGAAAGCTGACATTTCCGGTCTGGACCCTTTTTTTTTCTGAAGAAGGGTCCAGACCCAAAACGTCAGCTTTCCTGCTCCACTGCTGCTGCTTGGCCTGCTGTGTTCATTCAGCTCTACACCTGTTATCTCAGATTCTCCAGCATCGGCAGTTCCTACTATCTCTAGCAAATAGTGTATGTTGTCTTCCTGGATTTTAAGAAAGCATTTTAGACTAATGCATTCAATCCAACCCAGTTTACTACGTGGAAATCACCAGGATATTGCTTGTGATTTTAACCAGGCTAGACTTAGTGATTAGAGGAGGGCTGATAACAAAATGCAGAATTGTGGAGTGATCGGGAGAGATGAATATGAAGCTGAATTATGACAAAATGTCAGGTTTGATCCTTTTTTTAAAACAAAAGGACATCCAGAGGAGGATTGGAGAGTAGGAAGCTAATGGCATCAAGCATGTGAAACTGGACAGCAGAATTCTACTTAAGTTATTGACCTGCAAAGCTGCATTTTGACTGGGGGTATTTTACCTGTGGTTGAAACTGTATGGAAAGTTGAGGTAGTAGACCAAAATACATCTACCCAAAAATGAAGGTTACAGTGATGAACACATTGTACTGTGCGATACCAAAAATACGAACCAACGATGCACTCCCAACCTCTGAAATATGTCCCAATTCCATTCTTATAACAGTGAGTCATTGTAACAAGGTAGGCTCCCCAGAGAAACAAGAAAGGCAAAGAAGTGGTGCTTGGAGTTTTATTACAAGGGTGTTAGGTTAATAATTTGTTAGACACATCCAGTCCTTTGACAGTAATCAGTTATTCACAGGTCACTTTGCGTTTCTGATGATCTCTTCTGCTATTCTATCCTTTATGTTTTGCAGATCAGCAAAATTGTATCAAATCTTGCCAAGCTAACATTTCTGAACCTCACCTCGAATCCTCTGACTGAGGCCAGTTTAGATTCAGCTTGTGCTGCCTCATTCTCCCAAATACAGAGACTCGTCCTCAACAACACCAAAGTTTCATGGGAAACTGTTCACACTTTGCTGCAGGAGTTATCAGGGTAGGAACTTTAACTCATAGATGTTTGTACCTGAGCCTTTTTATTCCCTACTTTGTATTGCCATGTCTTCTCCCTTTTACAGACTTTCTCACATTGAAACTGAAAATCTTAGTTGATAACAAAATATCTAGCTGCTTTTGATCTGTCCATTCTAACAACCCTTTCGTCTTTCTGGTATTCTGTTTTCCACTGTCCTTCAGCCACATAATGTAGCTCTGCATTTGGATGCAAATACTTTTCCTCAACTTTGTATTGCTATTTCTGGGGGTTCTGAATACACCACTCTATTTCCCCTAACACCTTCCCTTCAAACCAGTTGTTTCCCCTTCCCATCTTCTGATTCTCATACCCTCAATCTACCACCACCCCCAAACAGAGTATAACAACTCTTCCCAGTTCACACTGGAGCGAAGTTCTCCACCATCTCTCCGTGTCCTGAAAACTCTGCTGTCTCTCCTTCTATTTTGTTTTCCTATCTCATCCTCTGTCTTTCAGTACAGATGAAGATTCTTTAGAAGTTTGCTGCTTTGGTGGTTAAGATTTTCATGTATTCCAATTACACATGGTTTCTTTTTCAATTGCAATAGCCTACCATTAGATGTCAGTGTTGAAAGAAATTTCTAGACCCATCACTGCCTCAAGCAAAAGAACTGATGTTTCTTTGATTTGCTTTTTTTGGCTTCATCTCTATGGTCTGCTTCTGTTGTAACAGTTTCGTAAACTCTACACAACAATTTTGGATGCAACCAGGCATTATAAATCCTCATTACTTTAGCAAGTTAGAAGTACTTGACTTGTCCATTTTTTTTTAAACTGACCAACCAGAGGTTTCTGACTGGGCCCATAGTCACCAAAAGTTGTTGGATACAATGTAATGAGCTCCAGTGTTTCTTCACGAGGCATGCGCATCACAATCAACCCTAGCATTTGTTGCCTATCCGTAATTGCCCTGTGTTTACTAATATGCAGTGGCATAAGGTATCTTTACATGCTGCCAATTTCCTGCTATTTTCCTTTATTTCTTTTTCCAATCTTGAAATGTCACTAATAAGCCTGTGTAGATATTTTAAAAATTGTATGCAAAAAAATTCCAATGTTGCATTGGCTAATGACAATAATTTGCTGTCCGTTGCGCATATTGCACTGTTCAGGTGGATAACATCTAACTTCAGCTTTGACTAATGGTGTTTTTAATATGAGCGAGATACCTTTCCTTGTAGTAAATAGGGAAAGGAGCTGGTCTACCAAGAACACACTCCTATATGTTCCATTGACAGCTCCGCACTGTTACTGACAGTAAAGTATTGTTGCGTTCTCATTCGGATGAAGATCCGTTTGCTTTCTAATGCCGTCACCATCATCCTGTCAAGAATTTTTTTATTCCAAGTATTATTGGGTCAAGTTTAATATTAGTTAACTATTTGTTTTAAAAAAAAATCAAACATTTAAGTGTTTAAAACCACCCCCCGACTATTTATTATAATTAAATTTGTGTGTTTGATCTTTTATTCTAACGAATTTTCCTGTCTTTCCCTCCTGTGTACCAAACTTGAATAAGAATCAAAGAAGTGCTACTGTGCAAGAGAAGATTCATCCCATCGTACTTGCACCAGTTCATTAAATTAGCAAAGTTGCCTGGTGCTGCCTCCTTTTTCATAATAATCTTGCACTTTATTTTTATCCAAATAATCATAAAGTGCCTTGATGAAGATGAATGAGCTCCCAGCTCTCCTGTCATGTTGCAAGGAGGTGCAGAAGTGACACCTGTAACAAGCAACCAGTGTTTGAGAACATGGTGATAAAACAGCAGTGTTTCCAACCAATTTTTTGTTTAGCTACTTTGTGAAGAAGTATGTTTGCATTGTCATACTCCATTTTCAGTGCCATCTCTATCCTTTTTTGTAAGGAAGAGATTTCATTTCTCTAAATCTGTGGAGGTGGATAATCAAGGTTTTGAATGCAGAAAGTAACAGTGACTTTGTGCTGCAAATTTCTGCAGTCATTCTCCTTTTAAATAACACTGAGCTCCAACCTCACATTTTCCCAGATTATATTTCATCAGCTAAGTTTTTTTTTTTTTTGCCCACTCGTTTATCTTTGTCTATGTCTTTGTGCAGGCTCTTGCCCTCACCACTTGCCATCCCACCTATTTTTGTCATCTATAGACATATTATAGTCACTTCCATCATCCAAGTCATTGAAATATATATTTTAAACAATTATACACTGATTCCTGTGGCTACAAAGGCATTATAAATTGCCAGCTTGAAAATGACCCATTAACATCAGCATGCTGTCTTCTATTGATTACCTAGTCTTCTATCCATGTTAATATGCTACCGTCCGAACCATGCCCTCTTATCTTATTTAGCTGCCAACACGTGGTAACTTAGCAAACACCTTCTTGGAATCCATCTCATCCACTCCTCCTTGCCCTTTATCTATTCTTCCTCTTAAGCCTCATCAAAGAATCCTAATACATACTTCAGGCATAATTTCCCTTTGTTGCATGATATTATTTGATTTGTATGTCTTTATGCCCATTTGTGTAGAATGACAAAGCTTATTATAAGCATATACTCTAACTCTGTTCCTGATTTGCTATAGTTTATTCATATTTTTTGTGTAGTGAATACATTGTCCCAGCTGCCTGCTGCAGCCCTTAGCCTTTCGATCTAAAATTTGCTGTAGAGTTCAGCACAACATGAGAATTCTAGAAAATGTAAACAAGCTTCCAATGTAACTGGACTTCCTGAAAGGTAAATGTGGGTTCTGAACCAAAGTTTGATTTCTAATTCCATTATTCAGTTTCCAATATTTACTTTCAATTCACTGTTTGAAATCCCTATACTGTGCTGTTGTGGTAATTGTTTGTTTGCTTCAGAATTCTAATCCAAAAGTAAACTGTTATCTGGCTTTTTTGTTTATTCACTCATGGGGTGTGGACATTGCTGGATGGCCAACATTTTATTGCCGATACCTGGTTGCCCTTGAGAAGGTGGTAGTGAGCTGCTGTATTGAACACCTCCAGTCCAGATGCTGTAGGTTAACCCAGAATGCCCTTAGGGAGGAAATTCCAGATAATGTTTGTCGGTTTGTAGTCCCACATGTGAAAAAGTGAACTTGTGCATCAGTGGTTTTTGTATAGAATGATCTTGGAGTTTACTGGTTCAGGGGCTTTCATAGGGTTTTCATTTCTGAATCTGCAAATTAGTGAATTAGTAGACTGTATGATGTATATTTGTGAAACTAACTGTTTCCATTTCTCTATTCCCTTTGTCATTTTCCATTCACTCCCTTCTCTCATTCTTGACATCTCTTGCATTCTTGTTTCTCTTTGGCCTTCTCCACTGCAGGTTAGAGGAGCTCTTCCTGTGCTTTAATGACTACAGGGCAGTATCACTGTCGTCCTGCTCCTACCCATCACTTCGACTCCTACATATTACTGATAATAATCTCACTGACTGGGCAGAAGTACACAAACTTGGACAAATGTTCCCAGGCTTGGACACATTAATCCTGGCAAACAACAACCTGACCAGCATCACAGATTCTCAGGGAACTCTGGCACGACTTTTCCAAAACCTACGATCAATTAATCTTCATAACTCAGGTATAATGTGTAATTAGATCAATTCACATTTGTTTGGAATACAGATAAAAACTGAAAAAATGCTAAGATCCAAATGCTCATTGCATTTATGCAAGGTGCATCATATATTATAGAATTAATTTCTCTGTGCTTTAATGATCGTGTTAATTTTGAGTTATGAAAGCAAAATATTCTAAATACTGAACATCTGAAATAAAAACAATGATGGAAACATTCTGGTTCAGGCATATCTGTAGAATAAAAGGGTTTGTTTTTAGCGCAATGACAGTCCATCAAAACTGAAAGTCACACTTTGGATTATTGGATTAGACTGAATACCTGCTGAACTGATCAGTATAGGTTTATTCTTTGCAGTTCAGTCAGAGATTCCATTAGTTGGTGACAGGAAGTCAAGATTTAATTTTAAGCTCATTTACGTGTGCTTGAAGTAATATCTTAACCCAGACAAAGCATCTCTTATCCCAGAAATTTCAAATGGGCATGTTCTCTGTGAACTCTATATATTTCATTTGGACGACTGTTGTCGATTCAGAAGCTAACAAAATCTGGGAAAAGCTGCACTTAAAATTTATTTTGTAACCATTGTCTCAGTGCCACTCAGGTCTTCTATTTGCCCTCCACAGAGACACATTCTTCTAGTTCTCTTCATTCTTCAATGATGATCACCATAGTATTTCCCCTCATTACCACCCAATTTCTCTTTATTTCCTTTTCTATCTGCATTTCATTTTAATCGTCTATATGCCTACACTGATCATTCTGCTCCTCCTTTCTTAATCTTTAATGCCTCTTCAATGTTATTTTCCTCAAAATGTACTGATTCACAGTTCTTTGCGTCTGATGGATATCTGATCAGTCTGTGACCCAGTTTAAGTCTACCTAAATACTCCTGCATTCTTGCTCACTTTGCTGTGCCCTAGTAAGCAAATTTTTAGTGCACTTCTTCATGTGGGTATGTCTAAACCACATATATAAATGAAAAGCAGTCCATGCACACCAGTACCTTTATTCCAAAATAATTTATCTCACTTTTTTCACTTGTTCATCTAAGAAAATGGTGACATTTCCTTTTAATGTGCCAGAATTTAATGTGGCAGAGTAACATGTTTTCTTTTCAAAGTCTACATATGTACTGTCCCTTGATCAATGCACTAGGACTACTTTTTTTGAAAAGTTTGGAATTAGACAATCTTAACTGCTGTTAGGAAATCAATGCACACTGTGTCTGTTATTGCATGCTAAAACGTGATAGCACAGAAGAATATTTGTTGTCAGATCTGATATTAGGGATTATTTTTCCAGGATTACTTTTGCTAGGTTTATCTACTAATAATGCTTGTTCCTTTGGTTATTTCAAAAGAAACATAGGAGTACACCATTTATCTTCTTAATCCATTCTATTAGGTCGTGACTGAAATGTACTGTACCTCTACTTGGCTGAGTTGGATATATATTCCTTTCTAGTCTTCCTGAATAAAAAAAAAACTTGGATCCCAGTCAGAGTTCTAGAGTTCTAGATTTCCATTATCCATTGTGTGAACAGTGTTTACTACTTATACTCTTTAATGATCTGGCTCTAATTTTGTTTTTAAATATTTGTTCATGGAATATGGACATCGCTTACTATGGCAGCATTTATTGCCCATCTTTAATTTTAAGGTTCTGTCCCTGTTGTTTTGGATTTTCCTAATGGAGAAAATAAATGTATCTACTACTGGTTCTTAATGATTTCTGTTTTTGAAATTCCAAAGTTTGGAGTTTGCAACATTTAGAAAATACTTGAATTATCTTTATTGAATCGAAAGTGGATGATTCACGTTTGTATGCATTCACTTTTTGTCACAGTGATGTCCTGCTCCCATCTTCACTACTTAACTGCCTCGCTAACCTGGGTGCTTCAAAAACTTGACTATAAAACTTTCATTTGCTTCATTTAAAAAAAAAAATGGAAAATAGGTGCAGGAGTAGACTATGTAAGTCTTTGCCATTCAGTATGATCATGGCTGATCATTGAACTCAGTGCCCTGTTCCTGTTTTCTACCAGTATCCTTAAACTGGGACCCCTGGTTCTGGTCCTCCCAATCATCAGGAACATGCTTTCTGCATTTAGCCTGTCTAGCCCTCTAGGAATTTTGAGTCTCCACTCGTTCTTCTAAACTTGCGCGATTTGTAGTCCTAACTGATCCAGTCTCTCTTCATACATCAAACCTGCCACCCTTGGAATAAATCTGATAAACCTTTGTTGCACTCTTTCCATAACTATAAAATGCTTCCTCCGATAAGAAGACCAAAACTGCACAGTCTATTCCAAGTGTGCTCTCAACAAGGCTTATTACAATTGCAGCAAGAAATCCCTGCTCTGTGCTCGAATCTTCTTGCTATAAAAGTTAACATACTATTTGCTTTCTTCACCTCCTGCTGGACCTGCATGCTGACTTTCAGCAACTGGTGTATATGGACACCCACGTCTCATTACACCTGCCCCTTGCTCAATCTATCTCTATTCAGGTAACCTGCCTTCCTGTTTTTGCTGCCTAAGTGGATAACCTCATATTTCTCTACATTATACTTCATCTTCCATCATGAAGCAAGTGTGTGGTTATCCGTTTTGGACTGATAAGGGATAGATCAGGGTACTTTCTAGATTATATGAAGTTCTGAGGAAGGGCCACTGGACCCGAAACGTTAACTCGGATTTTTTTCTTCACAGATGCTGCCAGACCTGCTGAGCTTTTCCAGCAACTTCTGTTTTTGTTCCTGAAGTTAAATACAGTTGATTTCCAAAGAGACTTGAGTGTTCAGGTGCACAGACCTCTAAAATTACCCTAACAGGTGCAGAAAATAACTGGGGGCTAATGGAATGCTGACCTTCGTATCTGGAGGACTAGAGTATAAAGATGCAAATGTTATGCTGCAGCTATACAAAACCCAGGTTAGAACCAGTTGGAGAACTGAGAGCAAATCTGGGCACCACACCTCAGGGTGGATATATTGGCCTTCAATGGACTACAATGTAAGTTTACAAGAATTGTGCCTGGACTCGTGGAGGTTAAATTATAAGGACAGAGAATACAAATTAGGCCTGTTTTCTCTAGAATTATAAAGTTATATCTGAGAATTATTTGTTAAGCAGAGATATTAAGGGAAATGAACCAAAGGCAGGTAAATGGAGTTAAGCCACAGATCAGCCCTGATTTTATTGAATGGCAGAACAGGCTCAAGGGAATGAATGGCCTTCTCCAGTTTCTGTGTTCCCCAGACATGCATTTGTCTACTTGGTCCACCTGTCCAAACCATACTGAAACATTTCTGTATTGTCCTTACAGTTCACCCTCCCACTTAGTTTTGTCCTCTGCAAATTTGCAGATACTACATTTAGTTCCCTCATCTAAGTCATGAATATATATTGTGAATATCTGGGCTTCAAACACCAATCCTTGTGGTAACCCACTAGTCATTGCCTGCCACTCAGAAAAAGACCTGTTTATTCTGACTGTTTCCTGTCTGCGAATCAGTTCTCTATATATGTCAGTATACTACCCCCAATACGAAGTTTTATTTTACACGCCAGTTTCTTATGAGACTTATCGAAAGCCTGAAAGTCCAGATAAAACACATCCACTGGCTTGCCCTTAACTGTACTAGTTACATCCTCTGAAAATTCTAGGAGGTTCATCCAGCATAATTTCCCTTTCATAAACACATGCTGACACTGTCCAATCCTGTCACTTCTTATTTCTAAATACTCTATTGCATTCGAAACCAGCAATTTCTGGAAAAGCTCAGCA